TGCTCTAAGACATTTATAGAGCTCCTTATATTAATTTCTCGGTAACAGATAAATAGGAACTTAGGCCAAATCTTGTTAACATTAATGAAAATTAGTCTGGTATCCCTGCTTAAGTTTCATCAATATGGCAAATGTATGTTTTTAAAGCAATAAAACTTGGCTCATTGCATTTCCAGAAATTAAGGTAAAGTAGAATTTTCAGTGAAGCTGAAGCATAAAGATACACTCGGACGTATTGGGCAAATGAACATTGAGAATAACAACAATTAATATAAACAAGCAGCTGTAGTCACTTAAATGCTATGTTCACCATTGAGTAAAAGAGAAAAACTACCTTGCAAGTGCAGGGCTCATATTCTAACAAGGAGAGACACAGTAAGAAGTTAAGGAAGTAAGTGATATAGCAAAAAGGCAGAATGGAAAAGAGTAGAGTATCAGGAGTGGCAGAAATAGGAAAGGTTGGAGAGTGGCCAAGGGTGATCTTTCATTGGGTAGGATATGAGCAGACTGGAGAGTAAAAGAAAGTTATCCAAGAGTGTTCTGGCATGGTAGGGAATAGCAAGAATTAGAGCCCAGAGGCAGAATGTTGGAAGAACATGGAGAAGAACAACATGACTGGTGATTAGAGTGGAGTGGGTAAGAGGAGGGCAGAGAGGTCTGGGAGCCCAGAGGCAGTAGGACTTGACCTTTCCTCTAAATGACCTGGGGAGCCAGTACAGGGATTTGAACAGAGAAGACATTGGAATTATGAGTCACACACCCACTCAGGGTTCTGTGTTGAGAATAGGATATAAGAGGGCCAAGGGAGAAGCAGGGAAACCTATCAGGAGCTGATTGACATTTTCAGGGTGAGGAATGCTAGAGCCTGGGACAAAACTGAACAATGGAGATGGCAAGTAGTGACCAGATTCTGGGCATAATGAAGCTGCTTCAGCAGGATATCCTAACAGATTGGGTGTAAAGTTTGATGACTCCAAGTTTTTTAATGTTGTGAGAAATGGAAGGATGCAGTGCCATCAACAGAAATGGGAAGTGCTACAGATGGAATGGATATTACAGAGAATACAGGAGTTCAGTCTTGGACATGTGGAGACATCCAAAAGGATATGTTGAAAAAGTCACGGATGGAGATATAAAATGGACACTTACTTTTGCATGGTTGGTATGTAAAGCCAGACCAGTAAGTGTTGATAGCTAATGTCCCCCACTCAGTCATTAATGATTGAGTCCTTTGTCTTTATAAAGCAAACACACCAGTAGTCTTAGATAGATAAATGGATGGATGGATGAATAAATCTTTTTAAATGAAGAATAGAGAATCTTGCCATCTCAGGGATAGGGTTGCAAATGCCCAATTATAACTATTTAGGCTGACTAAATATGAATCTCGAGATTTCACCTCTTAAAAGTTCTCCGTTCCCCTTTCACCTGCCACCACTACACGGTGAATCTAATTCATTTAAATGATCTGTATCATTTGTAAGTAACTTCTCTTGCTATCTAAGTATTCTCCTTCTAACTGACAAGCCGGATATTAAATTTAGACAGGCAAGCAGTAACAGCATTTGTGTGTATCTGTTTGCTGTGTTACCTTGTCTGTAACATGGAAATAATAATATCACCTGCCCCATGGATTCCTTGTGACTATTAGATGAGTCATTTCTTGTAAAATACTTTAGAATATTATCTGCATATAGCAGATACCATATAGGTGATCACTATTATTATCAGTGCTATCAATGGCACGTGTAGGGATTCAAAGAATGATTGTATGTTTAAAGTCTACTTGCCATTTTTAATGATGTGCTCTGTGAAACCTCTCATTGGCTTTTTACAGATATTATCACTACCTGTACTCCCATTACCTGCCAGCCAGCCTGAAGAACATGGTGGACCAACTGGCCAATTGTGAGGACATTCTCATGAATTTCCTGGTGTCTGCTGTGACAAAATTGCCTCCAATCAAAGTGACCCAGAAAAAACAGTACAAGGAGACAATGATGGGACAGGTAAGAGTAAGAGAACATTATTTCCTCGTTTCGCTCACTGCTGGTTCACCCACCGTGTTGAGGACTTGTGTTCCTCCAGGTACTCTATCTAGGAGTTTGATGAGGAGACACAGAAGTGCACCACATCTGAAACCTCTGAAGAAATGAATGATTGGCACTCTGGTAATTAGGAAGATACAAGTAAGAGTGTATTTTTGCCAAGAATATAGAGCTCTCATGCAACATATAAAGTAACACAAGAAAGATAGTTCCTCAGAGTTTTTCTTACTCCTATTGGACTGTGATAACAAAAACACCATAGACTGAGTAGCTTAAATGACAAACATTGGTTTCTCATACTTCTCAAGGCTGGAGATTCAAAAATCAAGACATCAGCAGATTTAGTATTAGTGAGGACCTGCTTCCTGATTCGTAGATAGCCATCCGCATGCTGTATTCTCATGTGGTCAAAAGAAGGGCAGGAGAGCTCTCTGGGGTCCCTATTTAAAGGGCTCTACTACCATTCTTGAGGACTCCATCCTCATGATCTTACACCTCACCCTTCATATCATCACTTTGGGAATTAAGCTTCAAAATGTAAATTTTGGGGTATATCAACATTTAGTCCATAGCAGTGTTAAAGACCTACAACAAATTTGTGTGAGCTTATTATATGTGCCTTATTTAATGACTAGCAAACAATACTCTTTTCAACACAGCCTTCTTTTGGTGGTTGCTCTTAAGTTGGGTGAATAGTGAAAAACCAGGAGTCACAATACTGGGTTTTCAATTCTAGAACCAGCATTTGTAAGCTGTGGGCAAGTCAGTTACCTTCTGAAATTCACTACATCTTTAAATTGTAGATAGTGAAATCATTCTCACAGGGTTGAGATAATATATATGAAAGCTTTTATAAAAGTAAATTAAAATATTTTGTTGGGCCATAAAATTTTAATATTCCAGATACTTTCAAGGAAATATCCAACTTTTCTCTATTTACAAGTTAGAAAACTAAGACCTACAGAATTTAAGTACTTCATCACGAGTCACTCAGGAGGTTAGAGACAGAAGTACGAGATGAATCCTATACTCTGCCTACTCCACAGCTGTTCTCCTACACCTCAGGCTCCTAGTATCAGGCCCATTTGAATATACCAAAGTTCTACCTTATTCCTCTTGAGTAGCGCTAATACCATGTGTAAGAAATCAAAAGCTACAAGTAAAACCATTAATTCTACCCAAGTTAAATCATGGGGGACCCCACAGGATTGAAGTCAACCTCAGTGAACATTCTTTAACATGATTGCATCAGTTCAATTATTTGGGAGTTTCCATTGCCTTGTTCTAACAGGTATAAATCATGCAAATTCTGGTTTTGCAAGGGAAAACACAGCTACCCTCATGTTAACCTAAGTGATGTTTTTTTCATTCCTCAAACTTAGTAAGAGCAAAAATTGACAAGATTTTAAATTTATAAAATTTAGTCATCCAGTATTTACTGAGCATGTATAATTATCAGGCACTGCTCTAGGCACCGGTTATGACATAAGAGCTGTTCTTTGTAATCAAAGGGAAATAATTACTTCCCTCTAATTATTGAACGAACTGGCAAGAGGATTTGCAGGAATTTGTAATCTTTAAGACCAGAAGAATGATTCGAATTTAAGCAGTATGTATCATCCGCTACATACCCAGACAGAAGTTCTCTAATGTTGTTCGCTAACAGTATTCTTCGAATTTCCAGAAGTTATACACTAATCACAGGTGCAACTCCAGTAAGACATGATTTCTTATGGATTGTTTGTGGCCTTTTCATAAATTTTCCTAATTCTATCAAATCAATAATTCTAGTAATTTCTCACACTTGGAAGGGACAAATCTAAATTGAACCCATGGGTCTAACTAACTAAATATAATTAGTTTGCCCTTTCCTTGCATCATATCCATTAGTTTGTGTAACTGGCAAGGCAAGTGGATGTCATGCTCTAAGCTTATGCTCTTATTGTCCAGGAAAGTCATCTTTTCTAGTATTTGTTCCTTTACTCAAAATAAATATTAAAATCCAGAGAAAAAAATGATGCTTGAGTGATTCCACTTGACTTTTTTGGGGTCGGGGGGCGGTCAACAACAATGAGCTGGAACTTTCAACAGTATTTCCATTTGCCTACATGGGCACTTTTGCCTGGAGGGGTCTAGCCCATTGGGAATGAGTGGGCCAATCAGAAATGTCCCACAACCCACATCAATTAGGAACAAAACAGATACCTAAGATACTTCTCTTAGTATCATATCTCTTCTGATATGAACTCAACTGGACAGATTAATATGTTACCCATCTCTGATTTACCAGGAAGAGTTCTCCTACTACAAACACTAAAGTATGAAGCCTGAGTTCTGCCCCTTTCTAGTCTTCAACGAACAACTATAACTTCTGTAAACCTGCCTGCTTGTCTGTGAAGTGGGGATGTTGTGATTTGGGGAGATACTTCACCTAGTTGTTGGGAGGCTCAAATGAGCTTCATGAAAACACTTTACAAATGTGCTTTGTTATTCTGCTGCTCAGAGGTAACTTGACATTTGTATTTATCTCTGATGTTATTTTCAAGCATGTTGACACTCAGCAGTTTTAAAGTGACTCTGAGTGGTTCTCACACTGAAATTGTGCCTTTCCATGAAAGTACATTTCTAACAGTGTGTGATGCTACAAATAACTGAGTACACACACACATAGACCTTAAACAGTTGCTTATTTATCTAAATGGGTTTGTAGCATAATTGAGCAGCCATCTTTTCCTTTTTTCATAAAAACATAGTTTTTGAAGATAATACGCTTATTTGCCTTTCAGCACTCAAGTCACTTAAGGCTTTCTTTGAAATCAATGCCAATCATTTACATGGTCTAAAAATATTTAAATAACCGTAAGGGCAACATAGAGAGCTAAAAAGATGGTAGCTATCTTTTTTACTTGTCTAGAATAACTCTTTTACTCTTTTCTAGTCTGGGTGAATAGAATAAAAGGGCTAATTGCCCTTTAAAAAGTAATCTTTGGGCATTTCAGTGAAGTAATAAAGGCAATACTTCTTAGGTTGTTGAGATTTTACTATATCAGTAGATCTTATATCAGTAGACCCTATGTGTCACTGAATCTGAATCCACCTCTTTACGCTTCATGGAGTCATCTCAGTGGAGATGTCCATAGAAGGGAAAACAGATTTTTACCTGCTATATAATACTAACCTTGAATGAAGTATAAGGGTTTTGTTTTTCTTCATCTGTACATGTAACTTTTAAACGAAAGATTCAGTGGGAACTTTATAATGATAGAGAGATAGAAGGGAAAAAGGGATGAAGAGACAAAAGGATGGACTTCTGACAGTTGATTATTGATATCTCCAAATCAACCAAGAGAGCAAGAAGGATTTAGAAAACCTTGAAAGCAGGAATACATTATTAGTCATAGTATTTGTTCCCAAATGCAAAAAAAAGACTTATATTTAGTGACCACAGAGGTTCAGTTAGTAAGGTTCATCATTCACTGACCAGAGTATTAGTCATCTCAGAAGACTTCAAAGGATTGGGTGTGTACTTAACAGTGGTGAAGTCCATCTCTCTTAGGAACATCTTTTGGTGAGAATAAAACCAACATCCACGAGCCTTGCTTATTTGCCACCCACATGGATGGTGAGGCTTGGTGGCCAGGTTCAAGTTCTAATTGCCACTTGCCTGACTCAGTTTCTAAAGTGTTCCCACCTCACCTTGCCCTTGTCTCACTGTCCTGGTTTCTCTCCTTCTCCCTAGACTTCTCGGGCTTCCCGTTGGGCTGACCCTGACCACTTTGCCCAACGACAGAGCTGCATGAATACGTTTGCCAGCTGGTTTGGCTACATGCCGCTGATCCACTCTCAGATGAGGCTTGACCCCGTCCTCTTTAAAGACCAGGTCTCTATTCTGAGGAAGAAATACCGAGACATTGAACGACTTTGAGGAATCCTACCGAGGGGGGTCCAGCTGCTCTCTCTTCCCTGTGCAGATTCATCCACTCGTCAGCAGAGCCAGATTGTGCCAAGTATCCAAATAAACTTAGATGAATGGAATGACAAAAAAAAAAGGCCAATGAGAACTCAACTCCTGGCTGCTGGGACTGCACTGGACAGCTCCACTCCTCACTGGCTTCTGTGTCCCAAGACTAGGTTATGTACAGTTTAATTATGGAACATTAAATAATTATTTTTGAAATGATTGCTATGCAGGTTTAAACTTTTTTAATGATCAAAACTATTAAAAAACAGAGTTCTTTCTTTAATCAAAATTGTGTTGGTTGTGAATATTTCAAAGCTGCTACTCCTCTTCCACAGACATCTTGCCATCCGTCATGCAGGGTTTTCTGTAGTTGGGAAAGCTCAGACTTCATGGGAAACAAAGTCACTCGACCCAGTGTCAAGAAATAACTGGGCATACATATAACAAGTTCATTAGTCAACTATATCCGTGCAAATTGTTTCCCAATTTGAATTTTTAAATCCACTTAAGCTTTTATCACCAAATGTTGCTGCATGAGAGAAAGTATTATGACTTCCAGGTAGGCAGTTGTAACTGAAAACTTTATGTTTGAGATATATAAGTATGGTAATCTTCTTTTCATTGGGGGTGGGGGGAGTTAATAGCAAGAAAATTCTAGTATAATAAAGAAATGTTCAGTTTGCACAAGGAGCCATCCATACAACACAGCAGCATGTTATTAAAATGGAAATGGTGACCCACAACAGATACCAATGCTTTCCAGGGGTGTGGGCTAGACTTAAGCACTGACATATATCTGATTAGAACTAAGGAAAGGCTTTGGTTTAAAAACCAAAGAAAAATGGGTGTACTGGGAGCATCAGATTATTTGTAAAATGAGCTTTTTAATATTTTGACGACCTTGAAGTTGGCAAGTTTCTCTATTGAGAAAGAAGTAATAATGTTTAAGTTCACACATCGAACAAGAGAATTGGTGTGAAATAACTGAGGTTCTGCCTAGCCATGGGAACCCTAATACCATTTTTTGGTCAAACAATGTTTTGAGCAAGATTCTGGCAAACAAAATAATCAGAAACAAACAAGTGTGAATCTGTTTTATTTCATTTTAATTTTTAAATGTGTAGAGAAATTTAGTTGTGCTTCTGTTTAAAAGAATATTTCTATCCCTGCAAATGCTGTCTTGAGCTTAATGCTTATTGTAAAACTTCAAGAACAAACACAAAAAACCCACAAACCATATCCCTTAGCTCCATTATAAAACATGGAGAGTTCTGATATCAAACGCTGGCTTCTACCTGGAAGAGGCAAATGAGAACAGGGACTAGAGAGATTATTAGGTCCTGCTACCTATTATGCAGAATGAACAATAAACACTTTAGTTTCTTTCTCTCCCTAAACTCTTTTACATTTCAAACATTAATTTCTAGCTTTGTTTTAGAAGAAAAGTTCATTACAGAATTGTGTTCCAATTACTGCAGGCAATTGGCTGAGGCTAGTGGAAATCAGAAACCCCAGTCCAGTGGAGTGTTTATCATCCTTTCTTTGTAGACATGTGAAAGAGAAAGTAATTTCCCTTGATATCCTGGAGAGGGCGCTGTAAGTAGAAATGAAAGTAGGTGTTTGCAGGGGTCTAGAGAGATGATTCCATTGGCTCCCTGGAAGCAGAGCAAGGACTAGAGCCCACATATCCAGATGCTGTGTTGTGAATGGTACATATGCAATGAAGCTCAATTAAAGAAGGCTTTTCTCTATTGTCTTGTGATTCACAACCCCTCTCTAATCACCTGTCACCCAGTTTGACCCATCATTAGCCACTCTCAAATAGGTGATAATAGGTGCAATGTTTCTTAAATATTTGCTCAAAAATAACTCTTAGGAGTTACTTACACTTGTGTCTCTCATTAAAATGCCCAAATAGGTTTCATTTAAACTACATTTCTAAGTGTTTTAAGGATTAGCAATTAATCCCTACTCATCTGACCTTTGCAAATATTGTATTTAAATTCATTTAATTTTTTTCAGAATCAGAGTATTATTCTTATATCTTTCTCCTTCACACCCACAAAAAAATGCAAAGTTTTGTTCAACAACCCTAAGCCAACTTGAAACTTATATTGTCATCTTTGTCATTCAAAGCAGTGTCCCTAATTTTATCAGTCCGTGGATTCAAGGACCTTTTGTGCCAGATTTACCTGTCATAAAGCTCACAAGACACATAGTCCCCCAAAACAACCTGTTGTATGGGGGAAAGATGGTAATTGTACATGAGAACAAGATCTGACACACTTCTCATGTCCTTTAAATCTCTAAAGTTTCATTTTATGTCATTCTCTGAGTAAATCTTCTGGGATACTAGCTAGCATGTTCTTTTCTCATTTGGAATATTACCACTGGGAATTAAACAATGCTAAGCAAATCAGTGAGGCCCAACAGTGAGATGTAATTTTAATTCTCTTAGGAAAGAGTTGTATATTGCACTGCAGCAAGTTGACAAATCATAACCATTGCTGTAGGATGTCAGGAGTTATCTCCTCACCAGATTTAATGATAACCAGGGTTCCCTAAGTGAGCCGAGATGTGCTGAATTGGTAAGACGCCCAGTGCACAGAGTGTAGTGCCAAGCACATAATGAATTACACACACAAACGACACGTAGGATTTCCACACATCTTTTCCCATCTCCACATTTAAGGCTGGCTATGTATTTATATGAAAAGGCTTATACATATCAAAGCTTATGTATACATTATGCATTAAACATATCACCTTTGTTGAAAATAGCAAATGCCTCAAAATTGAAACTGTAGAGAAAAATCCATGCAATAATTCTAAGGTTGTGTCACAAAAGATAACATAGCTAGGTGGGCACACCTGGGCCTATCAGCACGCTTGCCAGATAGGATGCTTCAGAAGAAAGGAAAATCTGATGACTGGAATCTTATGTGCATTACACCTTAATTTCTTCATGTTACAAATGGTGCTCAAAGAAGGATCAATCCTGGTTGCTTCCTTCAATTTCCCTTTTGGAATGATTTTTGTTTTTCATTACAGTAGGCTATGTTAGCCTTTACTTTGGTGGTTCTCAAATTCCTGGTGACTTGAAGGAATATTATGCTGGTGGCCTTTCATAAAGGTTGCTGAACTTTAATTTAATCAGGGGTGAGAAGAATGATATGAATAGACCTCTATACTGTTAAAAAAAATAAAAAAACAGGGCGCATTATTTAAGAACTAATGAAATTTTAATCAAGCCTGTTTAAAGGGCAGGGAAATGGCAGAAAGCCTCATCAAGTTAGAGTCAGTGAGACTTGCTAGGCAAGACTGAATTACAAATGCAAATACTGGGACAGACTTCCCAAACCTGGAGTGTCATATGTTCCTTGGAGTCTGAAAGCTCCAATTTTAAAGGTACTAGTTATTGCCATGAACTCTCAAGTAAAATTGTCCCTGCTTTCTAATAATACAGTCAACATGTGGGCAGTACATCAGGACTACAAATGCTGAATTTGTTTACCTAGTTTCCATTTAAGGCAACTATGACAAGAGCCTTTCAGATTCTTTTGTCATTCTTGGCCAGATTTAACCAAGAAAGCCGTTTTACTGCCAGCCACATTTTCTCAGGCATGCTTGAGGGGGACAGAGTTGGTTTGAGTTGAGTTCTTAATGAGTAAATGTTAATATTGAAAGTGCTAAACTCATCTCGCTTAGTATCCAAAATTCAGAATGTAGAGATTAAATTATTCCTTGACTCTTTTTTTTATAAGATGGGTGGTGGGGAAGGATTGGAACATCCTAAGAAAGTTCTCTCTCATTAATTCAGTAATTCTTTTCAGAATCTCTGGATAAAAAAACCTGCTATTTACAGAATAGTCTTGATAATGAAGGTGACTCCTGGCTGGAAACCATCTCTTTTCTTTGTCCTTTCCAAAAATAACAGATTTTATTCCATGACTTTTACTTAGCTGGGACTGTAGTTGTCTCTAATCTAGAGTCCAATATATTCTATATGAGGATCCTAGAGGAGATACTCCAAATTGGGCCTTCCGTGGCCCAGTGGGGAGGCAACAATTGAGCGAGATGAGTATTGGTATAGCATGATCTCACCCTTGTTTAAAATCAAGTCGAGCTAGCCTTTCAGTCACTCTATTTTTGTAATGATTTGCCTTTTAGGCCTCAAAGGTCATTTGATTTCTGCAATAGTTTTTCTGTTCTTCTCCTACAGGAACATATTCCTCTCCTTTGGGTTATAATTTTTATTAAAATTAGGGTCATGCAAATGACCTGTTACCATGTAATGAACCTTGTATATTTATTTTGAGAGAAAAATGTGTATAGGATATGGTGAGGGTTAGAAAGAAAGACATCAAAAATTGGAACTATTTTAGGTGGCAAATTGTAAAGCAAAAAAAAAAAATAGTATACCTTATTTTGTATACAATGTACATTTGGGACAGAGTTTTCTAATATGTTACCAATGTTTTTGTAGTGTCATCACAGGTCTTTTCTGAAGTGTTTTCCCCATTTGTTATAGATTATTAATGATTTAGTGCAAATAGACCCTATGTGTATGAGAGAGTGTGCAAGAAATTACAAAGCCATAGATCTTGATTTCCTTCATTGACCTGTGTAACTTTATGTCTGGGTTTTGCCATCCAAGATAGATTGTTTTATAGAGTGTCACCAAAGACTTTTTCCTTCCGATTTATAGCAGAAAAAAAAGAAATTATTAATAAATGACGTGACTTTTCTTCTGCGTGACTTTCATTCCATCTTTTCTGTTGACTACAGAAAGATGCCAGTTCCTAGGAGGATTTTGGTGTGCCGGGAAAGCTTTGATGGAGGTTCTGGGGGAGCTAGGCAGATGAGGTTGGACTGAGTGTGCTGGATGGAGGTCCGTCTCTCCCAGCCTGGCTGCAGCCCAGTGCCCAGCCTCATAGGGAGCATGATGCTGCTAGCACCAGCCATCTTCGAGTCCAGATGCAGCTGGTGCTGTTGGAAGCCGGCCAGGGTGAATGGTGGTGATGTGCCCAGTTCACAGCGTTCCTCCACACAAACGCTGGGACAAAGTGGCAGAGCTGAGCCCCAGAGCATCTGGTGCCTGACAGCTGTGGCCATTACCCCCCTTGGTTTAAACTACTGCCTGGAGCTCATGAATTACTGGCTGGTGAAGCATTTATTAGAATGGTATTTCTCAAAATAATTTATAAATGGCTCCAGGTGTGTTGCAAGTTTATGATTCAGGACCACTACAGTAAGGT